GACTCATTTTAACAGCAGTTTGAAATATAAATATATATGGGGGGGGGGGGCGCCAAGTTGAAAGTTTGTCCCAGGGCGCCGGGAGGGATTGCTACGCCTCTGGCACACACATTTAGTGTGCTGAATTCTAGAAACACGATTACTACGAGAATTGATTTTGGTACTACCAGAGCCTAAAAAGTAATCCGTTTTAATAACCAATATAATTTGTATATATTTTAACAAATCGTCGACTACATGAATTAAACGCTCATAAATATTAAGTCCTTGTTTCCCAAACAGAGTTACATTTTACCTACAATGGTCAATAGCCACTTACAATGTTTATATTCTTGTTTAGATTAGCAATTTATATAATTTTACGAGATGTTATTTACATCTGCTTTTTCTCCCTATTGCGTTTCTCCCTTCGCTTTGTACAAGTTTTTATTTAACTCACTTCCTCGTCGGTCTGTCGTCAGTCTGTCTACATCGAAACGCCGGAGCAAAAATTCGGACACTTCTACTTGACAGATACGGTTCACATTTGGCATGTGGGTCAAGACGTGAAGACAATGCAATCTGAAATTAAATTTGACTTAATTGGATGCCTAATTAATTTTTATGAATTAATTAAAATTTTGACCAAATTAGTAGGCATTTCTATCTTGAGCAGAATAAAATAATATATCCTGCCCTATGCGGTTTCCGTAGTGGTAAGCAGCCCATGGACTCTATTCTCCGGTTAATCAAAGAGATCATCAGTGGCTTTCATGCAAAAAAAGAGCACAAACGCGGTGTTCTTCAATTTAAAACAGGTTACGATAAGGTGTGGCGAACTGGTCTACTGTTTAAGCTCAAGAAAATCGGCGTCAATTGGAGACTGTACCTGTGGTTAAAGGACTTCCTATTAGAACGTGAAATATACATTAGAGTCGGAGCAGACCGATCTGGCAGCTCAAAAATAACTATGGGCCTACCATTATAGTTTTTTAAATAGTAGTCTAATTTATTTTCTACTTTTTAGTGCATTATTACATAATTTTTTTCCTTACCATTGGTAGTGGAATAGTTTGTGAATAGTTGAATAGTTACACATAGGAAACGTGTAACAAATTTAATAATAGTTAGAAATATAATGTTTATGCATACTGGATTGCATCACATTGTAATCGAATGGTTTTGTGTAACGAAGTGGTATACGTCGATGGGGATGGTTGTGTATCTGTAACGGTTTATAACTTGTATCTATAGGCTCTAATAGATGTACTAGTAGCAACATGATTTAACGATTCGTCCATTAATAACCCATCACAGCGTTACATATTTTGAGTTATAGATGTGCTTCACTTTTTAATAGCATATTCTAAAGTTATTTTATACCCTATATATGTATTTAATAAGTTAGATGGGTAAATACATAGCATGAAATGAAAGAGAAATGCAAACTGATTCACAAAAACGTCTCCGTCATGTACATCGATATTTTTGTAAAAGAAACTTTGCATTGTAGTTTCACTTTCTCGTATACAAAGTATAGAGAAAGAATTGTAATAGTGCAAAAAAAAAAAAAGAAATAGAGATTTGCTAATGTTTGCAAATCTCGATGTTTTACAACTCCCCGAAACGGAAAAACATAGTTTTGCAATCTTGTCCGTGTGTCTGTGTGTATGTGTGTATGTATGTTTGTGTGTATTAATATGTGAACACGATAACTTGAGTACAGATACAGCTTGGTTGATGAAATAACATTTAAAGGTATTAGATCAAATTTGTAGATCTGTATAAACTATTGAGCGATTTCCGATAACCGGAAGTGGATTTTTTCTGCTTTCAATTTTCAAAAGCCTATGATTTGAGTAATATTTTAGATAGATAAATGAAATTTCACAAGTAAGTTAAAAATTGCACTATCTGCCTTCAATCAAATTTTGACTAATTTTTGTTGATTCAAAGTAGCAATTTACGCTATTTCCTAAGTACTAATAATATTCCGCACTATTATACACATTTAGTTTGGCGTTCACTTGGTGTGCAATTCTGTTTTCTACAAAATTCTATTCTATTTTAAAAGGTTTAAGTAACTAAAAATGGATTGAAAATATTGTCTATACCCCGAGTTTCCATCTCCAATAGTGTTATATAAGGATATTCAAAAAGCTTTAGGGGAGTTAACTCCCGGTTTATTTTATTAGCAGTAACATTTGTATGTAGTTTCAGAAAGTACAAACAAAAAATATTTTATCTATCAATTCAGTTTTTTTATTACTTTACACTACTTACAGATTTGTGCTTATCACATATGAATATGATTACTATCGTCTTCTATATTTTTACACAGTTTTTCTCCTACCTTGACCTCTCTATGCACCCTCACCTTAAGCCCAGCGCAGTGGCGTAGCGAGGTCGGGTGTCACCCGGTGCGGCACTTAATGGTGTCACCCCCCCCCCCCCCCAGAGGCGTAGCGACCCTTCCCGGTGACAAACTTTCAAATTTTCGATTTGCAGCCCCCCCCCCCCTCAAACTTTCGATTTGCACCCCCCCCTCAAGTTTTTCTCTATATATTTTGCTATTTTTTGCCTTGGTGTCACCCCCTAAATGGGGTCACCCGGTGCGGTCCTCACCCCCCCGCCCCCCCCCTCGCTACGCCCCTGGCCCAGCGTAAACTCTAACGATAATGCCATTTTCTTTGTCCTACCTCTCGCACCTGTAAATTTTATGATTTATGTTTCGCCATAAAATAAGAATTTATAGTTAACTTTGTTTTTCCATTTAAAGATTTTATTACTATTTTTTTTCATTATTTAAAGTAAAATTCTGCCTAATATATATATATATATATATATATATATATATATATATATATATATATATATATATATATATATATATATGTATGTATGTATGTATGTATGTATGTATGTATAATTTACAAGGAGATGTTTGTGATTTAATTTATTATGTGTTAAACAGGTAAGATATTTTGCCAAAAAAAACTACTACTCTAAAACCGGTTTCGAACCTTGCACACCCTGCCCGTTGAACCAGCACACGATCTCAATAGGTAGTAGTTATTGCAGCTCTATTGATTGTGAATATGACGGTGTGATAGAGATGACTAGGGAAGGACCCGCTTGTCACAGTAAGTTTTTAAGTTTAAGCGTCACATTAAATTTTAATGCATTTAAACTTTTTTTAATCCAATCTTCTTGGCCTAAGGCCTTATTTGACTAGAGAAAGAAGGATCAGTCGAAACAAAAGACATCTTTAGTACTTTGTGCAATCTTCTATAAGAAAATATGATCAATTATCCTTAGAAAACATTTAGAGCCAAATAAAAAATGCATAGGCCTATTCTAGAAGACTCTAAATTAGACTCTACATCACTATTGAATTGAATTCTTGTCATTTTATAAAACGCTAAAAATTAATGTACCAAATTCTACTTAATTTATTTTAAAGAAATTTGTATTTTCCCCAAACGTCTAGAAAGTACTGTAGTATGCTGCCGGAGTTACTTGATATCAAGTGCATTCTACTTGATCGTGTACATAGTATACAAAATATTGTAATCGTGTAGAATTTTCGACACAAATTTAATGTTTTGCTGTTTTACACATCCCCACTGTATCGTATATATATATATATATATATATATATATATATATATATATATATATATATATATATATATATATACATATATATATATATATATATATATATATATATATATATATATATATATATACAATATATAAAACAGATTTTTTGAAGACATGCATATTGGTAAAAAACTCGACTTGATAGCAATAGTTGCCCCACGTTTCATCCGATCTCCATGAAACTTAGGGAAGTTGTTGAGATTACTACATAATAGGTTCTGTTCTCAGTGACTGCGCCTCGGTAGGGTGCAAGGTTGACACCTTGCTTTCCAATGAGTCTACGTCCGCTCTATACAGTGCGATAGACTATGGAAAAAAAATTGGTGTATTATAGTCGTTAACCTAATTCAGCCAGGCGCGTCCACCAGCACCTCGGCATGGTGCGATATGGCGCCCCGGGTTATTTTTTGAGTACTATGGCGCCTACGTTAGTTTAATGAGCACTCTATACTAGTAACGCGGTGGCCTACGACCTTTGATGATTAAACTGAGCCAGGAGCCGTAATCAGGGGCTCTCAATAGCGCCGACGTTTGTTCTACCTGACTATTACGGTGAGTGATTAATGTACGCTCAAGGGTTTCAAAGAGCACGCCATAGGGCGTGCTGGTCAGTAGTGTAGGAAAACCTGCGTCTTCAAAAATATGATCTAAGTGCAGGCATTGTTTACATTTAGATAAATAATAATTTAGAAAACAAGGTCACACGTCTAAGAATATATGACTGGTAACCTAATATATTTCGTTAGACTTTCTTCTAGCCCTTCGGCAACGCGCGTTGACGGGCAATAGTGGAATATAACGGATGCGTTGAAAACATACAAAACTTTAAATCGAAATTATCACAAATTTCGACGTTTATAGCCCCCTGAGCCGGACAAACTTAATTTTGCCACAATGTCCGCCTCTTTGTTTGTCTGAAAAGTAAACACGATAACTTCAATGCCGTATCAGTTAAATTTGCCACATTTAAAAAGTATGCTATAGTTTTCTATCAACTTTTGAGCCATTTAAGGAGATCATTCCCGCTTTATTGCATTTAAAAATTTGCCGTTTCATTTAAATTTGCCACATTTAATAAGTTAAGGAGATCATTCCCGCTTTATTGCAATTCAAAAATTTGCCGTTTCATTTAAATTTGCCACATTTAATAAGTATGATATAGTTTTCTATCAACTTTTGAGCGATTTAAGGAGATCATTCCCGCTTTATTGCATTTCAGTCTACGACGTCATATTGAGCGAGAACTTTAACTGGTATAGTGGCCGTAATTTAAAACTTTACACAATTCAAGCTTGGTTCAACTTTCCCCATGATTTGTATAACAGTCAAGTCGTGATTAGCTTAGCACACATACCAGGAGCGGCATATTTTGGCTGTGGTGATTTCACACTCTCACTGTATTCAGCACCCGCTGACAAAGTCAAAATCAGAAAGTAGGTGACAAGCTAACTTCGTATACTGTTCTTTAGTAAAATATAAAACGATAAACCCAAACTCATGGAAAAAAGTTCACGGAAACGACATATCCCAGAAATCATGGACGGAATATTTCAGCTGAAATAATACGCGGCACAATGCCGACAGGAGTAGTGTATGAATTTTAATCGAATTGTCACTTTTTATCCATCGTGTACTATACCAATAGTGAATAATTTTAAAAAGTAATTATGCTCAATAAAATACATTTAAAGTTTTTATAGTATAATATACTTTATGCCATTAAAAAAAGTAATTAATATTTTTTATTCTCTTTTTTTATAAAACGAAACAATTAAGCTTGATTTATTTGCTTAAATTCACTTAATTCAAAAGAATTACTCAGGTAATTCACTTGGCCATATGGAAAAAGGGCCGTGGGATTCTACGCCCTTGACGATTGCTGAAAACTGAATATGAATGACCGCATGCTAATAAAAGCTTATTCCAGTTTCTTCCAGGCATCTCTTCGGGGGGGGGGGGGGTGGGAAAGGGGGGGGGGGGCTCTGTCCCCCCAAAAAAAGTCTACCGCCGCCCCCCCACCCCCAAACGAAATGAAATGTATATAATTTATATAGAAAATATATACTTTTAACAGTGTCCGGTCCCCCCCCCCCCCGAAGAAAGTCTACCGCCCCCCACCGAAAATCTCAAGTGCCCCCCCCCCCCCCACGGATAAAAAAAGTCTGGAAGAAACACTGGTTGTAGACCAAATACCAGGGGTAACTCAAAAAGCGTTTGCTTCTGGGCTAATTCGTTAAAATGGTTAAAACTGACCTTAAGTATTTCCTTATATAATATTGTAAATTTATGTAAAACGAAGGGGATTTTCAAAATGTTTTTTAAGGCATTTAGGCTCTGTACATCTGAATTTTCCACAATGGTTTGCGTAGATATGTTGCAGCTGCATATCCTGTGTTCACCCTTTCTCTTTGACACAAAGTAAATTTGAAGCTTTGGTTCACACAATTTTATCTCCAATAAAAAGACCCGAAGAAACTTGGATTCGTTTTTTTTTTTGCCCCTAAATACATTTTAGTAATCTTGGGCTAACTTGTTTATTTAGCCACTTATATCTTTTTTTATGTTTTTTGAAAGTAGTTATTCTACTTACACGACTTGATTTTTATAACCGCCCATTGAATATTTGCAGACAATGGTACCACGTCGCTGTTGGTAGTTCAAACGATAGACAGACACTCTATGTTGATGGTGAGTTAAGGGAGACGAACATGTCTACACCAGTGAGAAATTGTAAAAATATAACGTTTAAACCTTCGCCGAAGTTGCCAGGTCAGTTTATGTATAATAGTATGAATAGTATGAATATATTTAAACCTATACATATTCTCTCTCTCTCTCTCTCTCTCTCTCTCTCTCTCTCTCTCTCTCTCTCTATATATATATATATATATATATATATATATATATATATATATATATATATATATATATATATATTATTTTTAAATTTTTTTAACTATGCTATTTAAAAAAATACTTTTGATTTTCTCGTTAACTCTAAGTGGGACTTTAAATTATATTTTTTGTATCTGAATAGAACTGAGAGTAGTCTCCCTGCACTTAATACCACAGTTGCTTGATGAAAAGTAAATTAGAGAACTTACTTCTTCGTGTAGTGCACTTGCACATGGGTATGGTGTTGTTAAAGGATTGGTTGAAAGGAATCTTTCGACGTTTCCCATGTCTTGCTATGGTAATGTTAAAATGTATTAATGTTTATTAGTTTTATAAATAATGTTGCTATTACTTCGATGTTTCAATGTAGCAATGTTGCAGTTCTTGCATGTTCTGATAGTCGTTCAATAAAATCTTAAAATAGAGAGAAAAAAAAAGAACACAGAAAATAAAAGTAAAGACAATATGATTACTATAGAGATTTGTCTAAGTTGATAGAAATAAGAAACAAGGAACAAAAGATAGCTCGTGTAATACAGCTAGATAAAAAAAAAAGTTAGGTCAGGTCGAGTCATGTTACGTTAGGTTAGGTTATGCTAGGCTAGGCTAGGCTAGGCTAGGCTAGGCTAGGCTAGGCTAGGCTAGGCTAGGCTAGGCTACGTTACGTTACGTTACGTTACTTTGCATTACATTGTATCCTCTCCTGGAACATAGGCTACTGACAAAAGCTTTCCGTGCATCTGTGTTGTGGGATAATCTCTCCTACTACTCTGAGGTGTCTTCAATCTTCTTGGTGTCATCTTTTAAGCCACGTCTCCAGGCCTTCGTTATTCAACTTTTGCCCAGCTTATTCAGGTGCAGGAATCGTTATGCTGGATACGGGCTTTATGAGTGTCTAGCCGATCCATCTCCATCTTCTCTGAAGGATCTCTTCTTCGGGAGGTTATTGGTTTGTCTGTTGCAAGAGACCTTTTTTCTGATGATGTTAGGCAAGCGGAATTCGCATGTAGATAAATATAGATGCAGGAATATGGATGTTTTATAGTCGAACACCAATACGTAAAATTAGTAAATATGTTCAGTACATGAATGTATAGTTTGTGTATATAAAATGTGTCTTTAAAGTTTCTAGTAGTTGTACGAACACAACATGTAACGGACACGGCAGCTGTGTCAGTATTAGGAATGGCCACAAGTGTCGGTGTTGGGACTTATGGTCAGGGGACAGTTGTCAGGTAATATAACAAAATGTAAAGAATCCTTTTTAGATATTACACGCCATTGGGCAGATAAAGTAGAATCCATATGTTACTTGAACTCGGTTTTTAAAGATAAGGTGTGGTCAGCACTTTGCCCAGCCGCCTTAACTTTCCGTAACATAAGTTAGGGCAGAGGCGTAGCGAGGGGGGGGGGGGGGGGGCGGGGGGTGCGGACCGCACTGGGTGACACCATTTGGGGGGGGGGGCGGGTGACATGAGGCAAAAAAATAGCAAAATATAGAGAGAGAAACTTGAGAGGGGGTTGCAAATCGAAAGTTTGAGGGGGAGGGAGGGGGGTGCAAATCGAAAATTGAAAGATTGTCCCCGGGAAGAGTCACTAAGCCTCTGGGGGATGACATCATTAAGTGCCGCTCTGGGTGACACCCGACCTCGCTACGCCAGTGAGTTAGGGACCTATCAGAGCTGGGTAGACTCAGCTTAGTTCTATTCACTTGGACCCGGAATCGAACTCCAGACCTTTGGGTTAGCAGCACAGCGCTCTGCCGCTTAGGCCACGCCACCTCACGTTAAACAATTAGTATTAACCTTAGGCACGATTACAGGTCTAAGTAAGTTTCGGTGTTGTGAATACTGGTCAGTATGGTAGACTATAGCAAAATCAGTTTTACGTTTTATCTTACGTTCGAGGAACGTTCAATATTGAAGTGATTTTGCACGAATTTAAGTTTAACTTAGAACTAATAACTATATGTTAGCTTTTAATACAACATTTTACAATTGGCTTTGCATTCACGGCATGTTTCCTTTGAACTATTATTTGTTGGAGTGGGTAAACAGGGGGGTTGGGGGTTATAGCTTCGTAAGAGCAAGACGGACGACTTTGATTCAGTATTCACATTAACAACAATGTCGACATCCCCTTTTTAAATCACCAGAATGTTTAGTTAAATGGTGAGTCAAATTTGACAAGATATCGCCATATAACATTTTAAAATCACTCTTTGTTTAAGATGAAAACTTAATGTATAATATTTCTTTTCGAATAAAAAAAAACGTAGTTTCTTTACCAACCGTAATTGTGCAGATGGTATTACACACACAGGATGAACCATACTATTGTAACGACCATCTATAGGGCTGTTAAGTAAGCCACCAACCAATTCTATGGCTGATGCAGGTTTTATTGAGCCGTAGAACTGGTTTGTGACCTACTTACCAGCCCTATAACGACTGTAATTTTACGAGTGTTACCCCTTCAACAGGATGAACCAAATTATTGTAAAGGCCATCAATGCGCCTCTGGTTCTAAGTGTATCAACAACGTAACTTCAAGGAACTACACGTGCTCCTGTGCTCAAGGCTTTTCTGGAAGGTTTTGCAGCCAATCAAAGAGTGAGAGGTTTCTTATAATACTTCACTTTCCTGATATAAAATCTTTTGTTATAGTCATAAAACTGAATATATTATCAAACTATTTCATTTTAAGCTTCATAAAATCATATTATATACGTACATAAGCATGTTTAGAAAAACAAATTCTGATTTTTTAAAATAATTGTATGCACTTCATATACGCAGCCGTAATTATTTAATTAAGAAAAAATTACATAATGAATAAAACTTAATTCAAAATTGTTTCCAAGTGTAGAAATTATTAATTAATACATGACCATATTTAAACAAATGACGATATGTTTTATTTTTTTTTCATAAGACACTACTCATGTTGCATTGAAAGTTGCAAACTACAAGAGTATTTTTTTTTCAGAAGTATCTACCTACAGAGAAAATGTAGGATGCTGTTTCTTTTTACTGTTTGCAGATGATGATTGTTCTTGTCTCTACAGTAAGTTACAGTTTGTAATAGGGCTGGTAAGTAGGTCACCAACCATCTCTACGGCTCAATAAAACCTACATGAGCCACAGAACTGGTTGGTGACCTACTTACCAGCCCTATTGGTCTTATAACCAACTATGGCTACATAGAACTTTAATAAAAAATTTAAAATTTCCCCGTCAGAGTGCGAAGCCCTAAAAACTGATTCTATCAATATGGACAATGTAACATGTACCACGGACAGAGACAAAGATACCATGGTATGTAAGATCAACTGTAGGCCGGGCTACATGCTTGACCGTGATGTCCACCTCACGTGTGGGCGCATGACTGATTACACATGGTCACACGTCGCCAAACACAACCCGTTGGGCTGGCTTCCTGAATGTGTGGGTGAGTGGGTTTGTGGGGGGTGGGGGTTTCACAATAAGTGGGTGTTTGTTTCACTTTATGTGGGTGTTTGTTTCACTTTGTGTGGGCGTTTGTTTCACTTTGTGTGGGTGCTTGTTTCACTTTGAGTGAGTGTTTGATTCACTTTATGTGGGTGTTTGTTTCACTTTGTGTGAGTGTTTGTTTCACTTTGTGTGAGTGATTGTTTCATTTGTTTGGGTGTTTGTTTCACTTTGTGTGAGTGTTTGTTTCATTTTGTGTGGATGTTTGTTTCACTTTGTGTGGGTGTTTGTTTCACTTAGTGTGGTGTTTGTTTCAATTTGTGTGGGTGTTGTTTCACTTTGTGTGGGTGTTGTTTCAATTTGTGTGGGTGTTTTTTTTAACTTTGTGTGGTTGTTGTTTCACTTTGTGTGGGTGTTTGTTTCAATTTGTGTGGGCGTTTGTTTCACTTTGTATGGGAGTTTGTTTCACTTTGTGTGGGAGTTTGTTTCACTTTGTGTGGCTGTTTGTTTCACTTTGTGTGGGTTTTGATTTACAGTGTGTGGGTGCTTATTTGACTTTGTGTGGGTGTTTGTAATTTTGTGACGATCTGTGATGAGGGGGAGCGAGGGTTCAATTAGTGTGACGTCACACTTTGCACTTTTTAAAGAACAAATCGTGACGTTATGAGGATGACCCCTTACATGATAACAGGATAGATTAACGCTAAGGAAAACATTAATTTTATGCAATATGAATTAATTTAAAGACTTTTCATAGCTTTGAATTTTATATCACCACCGATTCGTACAGGTGAGATGTTAGCTAGTATTTCTAGTGATCCGGCACGTCTAGTTATCGCTCAGAAGACGATTATCACCAGAGCCCCCCAACCCCCCCCCCCCCCCCCCAGAAGAAAGTCTACCACCCTCCCTGAACGAAATATAATCTAGATAGAAAATATTTACTTTTACCCGTGTCCGCCCCCCCCCCCCCCCCAGATTTTTAGTCCGCCCCCCCCCCCCCGAAAATATTAAGTGATCCCCGGAGTAAAAAGTCTGGAAGAAACACTGTTTACCACTTTGAAACTGCTATCATATAGGGTCAACAAAATGAACTGAGAAAGAGAAAGGGGCACATTTTCTTAAAACTTATTAAACGTTACTGTCACAACCTTTTTGTGTGACTGGGTTCACGATATAAACTTGTCACAGGCCTTTCTCCTACCTTTTATATTACACATACAAAATCAAAAAGACAAGCCTTCTTTTGCAGTTTTTCATATTTATTTTGTTTTCACACAGGCGGCGTGTTCACCTAAGCTACGCCATCTTCTTGCCTCCTTTTTTCTCCTGTTCCTTTCGCGCATGCGCACAGCCACTGTCTCCCTGATGCAATCTCGCCTTTTTTACAACCCACACACTCCCAAGATACAATCCACCAATATTTCACTGTTATACGCCCTTTTTCCCGTTTAAAAAAATAATTTATTATTTTTTTTTGTTATATAGATCACATTCACTTTAAAATTTTCATGTTACATGTAACAGTGAAATGAAAATCATGTTGAAAAAGAAACTTGCTAATGAACATCCTAAATTTTTTATATGTACACTTTTTAAATTAAAACAATGATATTCATAAAATACTTGGCAATATGCAAAGTTTCACTTATCTAATAAGTATCACCATTAAGGAAAATTGTAACTAAGGTAAACCTTCTTAGTTTAGTAAGAACAAATGAATCTAACTAAGGAACATCTCCTCTTAGTGTAACAAAAAAAGAAATCATTAAACCTCACTAAGGAATAATGCCTCTTAGTTTATCTCAAATAAATCTAACTGAGGAAGACTCTATTTTAGTAGAACAAAATTATAGCTATGTGATAGCTCCCATGGGCAAATCATAAACTTGATTTCCCTACTTCACTGGCTGAGGTAAACTCCTCATCATAACATATGTAAATTACCACATCTGTCAGGTCATACTGCCATAATCATGTTCATTACTTAACAAGATATACAGTATACATCAAAATCATAAAAATACAACAAAATGTATGTTCCTTTTCATTACTAAATTAAAATAGTGATAAAACATATTTATAAAGGTCATATTATGACTTATTCCTATCTTGCTCACATTTTTAAAATGTTAATGTTCTCTGAAAGTACACATCACATACTACATTATTCAAAATTTCCTTATAAGGATTGGCTGATATGTCTCAGGTCATTATTTTCTTTAGTCAGTTCCATGTTGTTTTTTTTTCATCTTCAATCTGTCTTGATAAAAAATTCAGCTAGTGTATTGTGCAGTCCCTTTACAGGTTAGCTTTTCTTGACATAATGTTCTTAGACAAATCCATTTTCCTTATGAAAGCAATATTTACCAAGTCAAAATTCCAAACACATAGTTAAGCTCTGTTAATTGCATACAACTTTAACCAACATTAAGATCCATTAGCATTACCATATAAAGTGTTAAAGAAATACACAACTGTTATGTTCACAAACATCAGTTAACAAAATACAAGGTCCAATAACAAACTAAACATTTGTTAACCAATTATGATAACAAACTCAATGCTATAATTTAAATGGTTTGCTAACTTATACATTTTTAAAAGTCAATAACATGTCAAATAATGTATGTTAGTAGTCCTCAGTGTTGGTAGCTATACTTTATATCACTGATGCTTAAGCACCAATGCACACAACATAAAGAGTAACAGATTTTGTTAGCCAAAAAGGAATGTGTAGAGCTAATCAATGAAATAAATTTTTTTTAAACTG